TAATTTTAATACTCTTGAGATTGGCATACTTTTAGCTTCCTGTTTATGATTGTTACGATGAGAATTGGTGGCGGGAAAACAAAAAATATCAAATCCAGTTCAGTTTCTCCTCCTCTTCATGATTCCTTTGATGAACTTTGTCAATTATTACATACAGTGTGTTATTTGAATATTTCGAATAAATGTAAATTTTTCCTGAAGCCGAACCTGGATTTTCACTTCGCTCGATAGGTGAATGCATTCAACGTCCCAAGTTTAAGCTCCATACCAAAATTTAGAAAAATATACTGGGTAGTTCAATAATTATAGACGAATGAATAATTATTCGAAATCGATAAATCGCCCTGTACCTCCGTTATGAAAACTATAAGACCTATCAGATATGGTATTTTCAGAACCACCTTGGTGACCTCTATCTACCATTGAAATATTTCCCTTTACCTGTGAAACACCCTGTATAGAAAGCGAATTGAAAGCTCTTATGGAATTAACTGTGAATTCAGGGTGATACATCGAAAAGAAGAGTTTCAGTTTTCAGTGATTCGTAAATGGTGAATGAATGGACCCATGCGAATATATTTTTGGTACTTGCATGCCTAGTTTGTATCATGAGTTTTTGAAAACAAATGTTTCTTTCTATTTTGCATATTCTATGAAGTCATTACTACACCCAAATGCGTATCGAGCCAGCTTCTATTAGGACACGCTGAATTTCTTGTTTCAAAGTTGGAAGTTGGTAATAGTAAAGTCAACGTCGAACTGGCAGACACAATAGCGTCTAGATAAAGAACGCAACAAATAACTATAGCATTGCAGGTATCTTGGGCATTTATTGCCTATAAAATTTGCTGGTGAGTTTTGTTGGCCTGCTGTTGAGACAAAACTATGGTCATCTGTCTGATAATCCAAGTTATTGTTTATGCAATGTGACTATGAAGTAGTGGCATCAGAATGTGTTGTAGAAGTTGAAAGCTGAAAAGAAAACATTCGAACTACCTACCTCAATTTTTTTTTTCACAGAAGCTTATAATATGTAACCTTCAGCAATTGCTGAGGATTTCACCGCCTCTATTTGCTAAATGGGACACACTACACGGAGAAAAAAAATCACTAGCCCTAAGTGAATATTTAATAGTGGCAAGTAAAAACTTGTATACTATATGGGACAAGGAAACAAGTTGATAACCACAAGAATATTTGTGTTCCTGAAAATGTACACCTACCACTATCGACCTGTTTCATTGAATTTCAGGTTAGTGAACACATCACTTGTCATCAGTGACCTATTCAATTGTCATTAGTGACTCATTCACTTTTCATTAGTGACTTGTTCACTAGTCATTAGTGACCTAATTACATGTCATTAGTGACTTATCTACTAGTCATCAGTGACTTATTCACTTGTCAATAGTGACTTATTCACTTGTCATTAGCTAGTATGAAAAAATACCTTCATTGTTCTCTAAAAAATGATAAAACCTTGGTAATAAGACAAAAACACAGGCATTCAAAACATTTTATTATATAGGTATGATGAATCCAGAAAATACAAAAAAAAGAAGGCTGACGACAAATATTGAGATACTAGATACCGCGTATATCAGCATCATGCACCGAGAAAAACGATACTCTCACTCACTGCACTGCACTCTGGTTCACTATCTTTTTCCTTCCAGCATTGAAGATGAATCGACTTTCATACTTTTTAAACGTCACTTCCTTCCACTTCGAGTATTATAGGAAGTGGAAAAACATCCTGTATATATGTAGAAACAATTATGTACTGTTCTAGAAGAGTTTTGTATTTCATTATCTCCTTCAAGAGAACAGATCAAGAACTCCACAACCCACAGCTCAGAGCACGGCCACAGAGCACGGCACACAAACAGAGAATTCTCATACGAATATGATATATAGTAGTTGTCACTTGCATGACTTGGAATTTCAATGTTACTAGCGGGAACGCAAGTATACTAACTTCACGAATGCTAAGATCGAAATGACGCCGTGGACTCGTGGACACTGGACAGTGATCGCGTTGGGCGTGGGTACTCGAATAATATCGGAGATGTCCGAACGGAAATGAGATCTATAACTACAGGTGAGCTGTCACTTGCAACAATCGACTTGATAGATTGTCTTTATTGATGAGTTCGCTCAGAGCAAGTGATCTTATGTCAGAAAAATAATTTAATAATAGTGAGTATTCGTTAACCTAGCACTAGTTAAGTGTTCACTTGGAATTAGCGAACTCTAAATACATATCGACTTGGTTGATACCAACAAGTGTTCTGATCACTTACAGCAGAAACTTCGTTCCAGAAATATAGTTTTGCCTACTGCAAGTACCATATTTTTCTACCGTTGGTGAAAATGTTCTTGTCACAATCGACTTTTTTTCAAGAAAACAATTTACTTGGCCGAGTTTTCTCAGTCTAGAACGCTGAAAACGATGTACTGTGTTGCAATCTCAGGATTTGGTAATTTGAGATATTTTGCAATGATTCTTGGCATTTCACCAATTGTGTTAATTCAATTCATGCAGTTACCATTGCGGTAAATAGGTCAACAAGAAGCATTTACATTTACATATTGTGGTGGTACAGGTCGGCAGTTTGACACCATTCTTGGAAATTGTGGAGTTCTTTTTCATAAGCTGGACGAGGTTTCTTGGGTAACAAACCTTTTATAGCCGGTTGGGCAAATTTCCTCAATACAGGAGGGGTGCAACTCAAATGGGCGTATACACCTTAGTTGAACTTTTAACTCAAACCATGTTTATAATGATCCTTTTATACATAAATAATGATTGACGACATAATTCGATCAAAAAATTAGCAGGAATGTTTTATTTTTGGACATTAATAATAGTAACTTCTGAAAACGGACCCTCTCATGACGTAGAAACCTCATCTCGCCATAGTTAAAAGAAAATACCAAAAGCCCGACGGAGACTGAGGCAACTGATATATTAATTCTTTCAACTGTGATCTCGAGCTAATTCACTCTGTTAGAAATCATGTAACATTCATCTCTGTCTGGAATAGTCTTGTTTCAGTATTAGGGTTTTGACGTCACATCATCGCCTCGTTTTCAGAGGTCCGAAAAATCGGGGATTTCAATAATTTTTTATAAAACGTACGGAGCTCACAGCAAGAAACGGTTTGCGGTGGTGAGCTAGTTTGGGTGAGTTCTATCGAATTATGAAATAAAAATTTCTTGTGATACAAGCCCATTTTCCACTTCAGTCATTCTCAAAATGATAGATTCAGATCTCTTATAGACCAACGATTCCGAACTATTTTGCTGGAATAAAGATGTTTATTTGAATAATTCTTCTACCATCTGTCAAATTTGGGAATGAACATTCAAATGTTTTTTCATTGTTACCAACTTCATATCTTTCTTATATCTGATGTTTCTGTTGAAACATTTTTTTTAAATAAAAGAGTACAAATGAATGGAAAATGAAATGATACTATATATATTATACACGTTTTATAAGACATATTGTCGCACTAGTTTTGTTGGAGGACTCCTAACTTTGCTCGCCGTACTTCAAACAACGCGTGCGACAAAATAATATCTTTTCAAATATATATAATGATATATTCATCAGTTTCTTCGAAACTTCCGCAGTAAATTATATAATAATATTATCTATTTCCATTTGCTCGATATGTGTACACTTTTCCAACGAATTGACGCACCTCCAAAAAGTATCCAAAAGTTTGAGATACATTTTCTTCAAAACTACCCGTCTGATTTGGACTTTTTTTGTTTTTATCGACAGGTTATCTCCTTCTGAATATTGGAGTGTGTTTGTGAATACCGGGTATAAGTGCAGTTTTATCGTGTTTTTTTTTAATGAAACTTGTGATACCCAGTGAATAGAGTGTAATAGTAACATTATATCAAGTAAGAATTGAAATTAAACTTTTGTCCCATCTTCTTCCAACATTCCTTTCCTTTTTTTCCTATCACTCCAGGAACACAATTTCATAGCATAACATGATTTTATTGGATTCAATTAGCATTATAAGCACGTAAGTAGCAGGCATTTTTCTGACTGGTCGCATGGAATTGTGATCATCAAGGAAAGCTTCACACCTGAACGGTGAACATATTGGAGATTTGGATTTTCGTTGATGCTAGATAATGTCAGACCCCACGTCGAAATTGTCTAGAGGAAGTCGGTATATCGCTACCCAGGCATGGCCAACTCGAAGTCCGGATTCAAATCCTATTGAGAATCTCTGGGCCATTCTTGAGACAAGATTAAAAGAGGAACGTTACTAGAATACTTTGGAAGACATACTGTAGAGACTGGCTCAAATTTGGGAAGACCTGGACGAAAATGACATAGGTCTTCTTATTTTAAGTATGTGGAATTTTGTGAAATTTGTATATCGCTAGGTACTTCAAAATTGAGTACCCAAAGTTGAGGACCAACTCCCCAGGAGTCGAAACTTGTGCGGGGTTACGAAAAGCGGGACCTACAGCTTATAGAGGAATCCGTTTATGTAGGCCGTCTATTCCAATGAGTTATTCTTGCCTGAGGCGGAAATACTCGATACTGACCCTTTCGTTCAACTTGTGTTTCGGCATTCTATTTCAGGTGTTTTTCGAGTAATAGGAAAGCTAATAGAGTGAATCAGGAAAATAAATGTTCAGGAAAGATAAGGATGAAGTATAATTTCATTCATTATAACTTGATAGTGTAACTATTACACTCTCACAAATTTCATGAAAAAAATACGCTTTGATTGCTGCATTCGGTATGTATGAAAAATTGGTTTTCATGCAGTTTACATATCAAAGTTCAGAAGGAGATGATGTGTCATTCGAAAGCAAGAATTTCCAAATCGGACAGGTTATTTTGACGACAATGTATCTAACACTTTTGTCTACTTTTTGGTTTTGCGTGAATTTCTTGGCAAAGTGTATGTTGTCAAAAATTGTTGAGATATCAGGAATGATATACCTACAAATTGCAATATTCACTCACCTTGTAGGAAGGGCAGCAATTTGCACATAACCTCTCCAAAAACAAAATCCCTGAGAAGAGCACCGATCAAAGTGAAAGGCATGCAGAGAACGCCTAGCAGCAGATCCGATACGGCCAAATTCAGCAGGAATAAATTCGTTATGGTCCTCATCCTCTGGTTGTGCACCTGAAAAAAATCAGAAAGTGTCATAATTGTAATTGTCATGAACATAAAATGATGAATTATTGGACCAAAATTGTGAAATATCAAGTGCAACCTGTCGAAATCCTCTTCAATTATTATCTAAAGAACTACAAAAAAGCCAAAAGCTCATAGTATAAGCTCATAGTCATTTCCACAAGCGTTCAATGGAATAAAATACAGAAGGTCAATTTACTAATCACATCCTGAATTGCTATCATCACTTTGATATTCACAATGTCCTTGAGGTTTTACACATTTGCAAGAAGGGCACCCTTCTGAATTAATTGGTGATATTTGAAATCATGAATCAATTGAAGATGACAACATTATATCTTTGAATGCACAAGCACATTTTGTATCTTGTATTTATTCTTTTTTAGCCCGATTACTTTCAGGTTTGTTATCCATATAACATGTAATTCATCACGGTCCTGCTTCACAGTAGAATACTATTTGTTTCAAGTCACGAGATAGTTTCGTGTCACTTCAGACATACTTCAAAAATTGTGTGTCACTTCTTGCCGTTCTACCTTTGTCACGGTAATCAATGGGCCCATTACAATCATATTCTTCGTAACTAACCAGGTGGTTGTATCCTCCAAAAAGCTCCCATTGAGTTGTGGGCACTTTGCCTTCCATAATTTTTCATAAAATATGTTAAATTTTCTTATAATAGCATATTGCTGTTATTGAGAGGTATTCTCGCCTACTAACTTCCATTTAGATCCACAATGCCAAGTGACCCATCATTTTTTTTTTAATCGAATTGAACTCATGTGAACAAACTGAACAGAACTAACCTCCAAAACACGCCACTCCAAATTTTTCACGCGGTGCAAGAGAGATAAAAAACAATCGTGCGCATGTGCTAATATCTCAAGGGTTCCTTCCTTTGTAGGGTCGCCATCTGAGCAATACCCGACCAAACGAAAACACGATCGGCAATTATTCGTTCAGAGACGCTTTCCAATGACATCCTGGAACTAGCGACATCTAGAGCAGTATGAAAGAAACACTCCTAAACTGAGATTCTCATCGAGAAATGAAAGTGTCTGATTGCCGGACTGCCGTTATTTCAACTACCAAAATGCTCAGAGTGGAATGAAATGTTATATTCGATGCTATTCACTAAGAGCGTGGTTATTTCAACAACTGTCATTCGGGTGGTTAATATGAAGGTCAGTGGTTATTTGAACCACTTACAGATTTTATGATTCTCTAAGGCATAGATGAATAATAAATCAACAACTTGTCATGTTCTTTCCACTTTTAATAATGGCAGATATCCACGTGAATTATCTGGTGATTTGTGGAGCGGCAAAGGTTTTTATTGGAAAATGTGACACTATTTCAAGAAAATGTTGTTCATCTGTCAATGCTAAATATTGCAATAGAGGTAATTCTACGACAAGAAAGTATCGAATACCTACCTGAATATTTGTGAAAACAAAACATTTCACTAGAGGAATAGCATCAAAGAGTTTTTGATATCATTAATAGAACCACAGATAGACGACGTTGGTGACGATTTTGTTCTACTACATGTTTAGTTTTTGTAATATATCAGTATAGAGAGTACTTAGAGGAAATTTATAACTAATGCCTAGTATTTCAGATACTTGCTGCTTTATATTTATTTGCACGAGGATCCTATCAAAGAGACTGTTTCTAGCAATGTCTCAAACAAGTGCTTGTAGAGTATATCAATTGTTAGGTTGGATAACCGTTAAAGAGGCAGAAATATAGCAATAGTCAATGGAATAGTAGATGAATGACTATAGGTTCGCAGCTTTATTTATACCACTCTGAGTAGTAAAAAACTAACTGCATTGCTGAATGTTGGCTTTATAGAATTCCAAATATCAAGAGTGGAAAATCTGGGTTGGTTAAAAAGGTTCTTGATAACAACGTCACCAATTCAGCCACCCTATTGAACACTTCTTAGATAATCGGACTGAATAAAGACAAAGCACAAAGTCATTTCCACAAGTGTTCAACGAAGGAGAGAAACACTTGCAATCGAAATAAAAATCGATTTTTGGTAAGTACCGGGAATGAAACTGACATAAATGGTCCTTTGTGAATAAAAATCACTACACCAATAATTGAGTATCATCAGACGTGTCGTGGTAAAGCAGGGGTTAATCAATTAATGAAAAAGGAAAGTTTGCCCAATATAAACTGAGTTTCTCACTGGAACAGCAGAGGCGTATTTTCAGGAACTTCCCAATTCCACAGCTGAAGGAGTTCATAGTAAAGCTGATTAAAACTTTCCGGATAATATCGATACTATCTCGGTTCATACCCTTTCATTGACAACACCGATAATCTATTCTTCTAACGAAATCGATTAGATGATGGAATTTGAGGATCCGAATAACAAATTATTGGTCGATAATATATGTACATATAATGTCTTTATTGAACGGACCAGATGAATCACTTGAATATAAATGACTATGATCATTCTGAGAATGAGTATTTCTTGTTATTATCTACTCATTTTACATTTGCAACTGCCCAAAATACCTGAACTACTCGATCAGAAATATCCAACCCAATGATGTGCTTGGCATAATTTATTTTCTGTGAAGTTCGAAGAGGTTAGTTTTACTGCTTGAGTGCATAGAGACACCGCCTGAAGATCTTACTCATCAGGTACTAATTGTAAAAAGAATGCAAACCTAAGTTTTCTCACATTTTCACACTTCATTATCGGATTAAAAATAAACTTTGAAATCGATAACACTAGGAATACTCAATTCGAAACTTTTCCAATAGTTTGGCTTCAACTTCTCTCAGTCCATTATCCGATTGGAAATGTGCCATTCAAAACCAAACTTAAAATATTCGATTCCGGATATGAAACCTAGGAAAACTACGATTATTATTGAATGGAATACTGTTGAATGACATCCTTTCTTTCAAATGCTGATGTCAGTGATGTTAGTCAATATTATTTGAGAAAATTTGTCATTTGTTCCTCACAAAAGTTACTTGAGTTAGATTGTGTGAGTTTGTGAGTTATAGTCTTGAGAATTAGGTCGTGATGTGGTCGGTATTCAAGGCCATCCGCTATACAGCGGAATTCAGGAAGGCGATTCTGGGACCTATTTCAAGAATAATACTTCATATGAACGTATGTCGCAAACTTCCTAACTTTTGAGATACAGGGTATCAAAATTGAACATATACATAGATTATTATTTTGTCCACCCTGTACAGCTTCTCCAGATGGCAAAATTGATTCTGCTATGTGACTGAAACGGTGCAAACATTCCAAAATGTCACATACTGTGGTAATCCAGTAATAGCTGTCGTGCATGGAGTACTCAAGCTTAGCATCAAAATTTGAAATTCGATCTCGTTTTTTGTTTGTTCTCGAATATGAAGCGTCCTGTCGGGTATTAACAAGAGGATCTTTTTTATACAAAATTGAATGACTTTTTATAGGATTTCATTGAATTCGGAAATATTCCGTCGTTGCTCACTTTCGAGTATAATATAATCAGTCATATCCCTCTAACGGCGCCACAGGCAGAGAAAAGGAAGAATTTGTATACATCATAAAATGTACCTTGATGCATAGAAGATATGTACCAAATTTCACTGACTACAATATTATCCCAGTTATAATTAAAAAGCTGTTTTTTTTTCAAAACTTCATCACACTGTATCTCAAAAGTAAAGACTTTTAGGACATACGTTAGTGGAAATTTTTTTTCTTGAAATGCGTTGATGAATCACCTCCTTGAATATTAGCATGTCTTTTGGAAACACCCTGTATAGTATCACTAAAGTTGTTTTTTCCAATTATTTGTGAGATACCCAGCAATCTTGTAATCTATCAGGATGGTTTTGTATAGAATACAAATCCTGATATTGAATCAGAACACTATCGAACCCAGCAAACTGCAAAGTCCTCATCGAGAAAATATTTTTTTAATATTTTTATAATTCAGCATTGAGAAGAGGTATACATTGTCTGTACAAGATAAAGATGTCTATCATGAGGTAAAGTTGATGATGGTTTTTCTGAAACGAAACGTTGTACGGAATATCTCTCAAAGCTGTTTTGTAGAGCTCTGAAAGTGGCAATGGATAGTTTTTATTGTGTTCGAATATCTCCTCAAATAACGTAAGGAGAAAAAAACGATCCCCATGATAGACAACCTTATTTTGGACACAGTGTATTCAAGTTCATAATATTCTCATGTTTTCTCAATCATTTCGCGTGTACTGCTCCATTCACAAGAGAATGATATATGAATCTGAGAAAATGAATGATGTTAGCTAATTCATTGTTTGATTGATTTATAAGTAAAGTTTGGTCAATTTATCACCACTTACGCCATAACAACTGCTCGCCTGAAATTAACCTCAAACTAACACGCACTTTTTCGTCGATAGGTGTCAGTGGCGTTCCACTATTCATTTCATGGTGGTACAGTCTATCTATGTAGACTTTCATTTTTCAACAACACTCGCATCAAAATAACTTATAGAAACCATGACTATTCCATTCGTGAATTGGTTACATGCCTAAATTACCATTCAAAAGAAGTGTCATACAAATCAACAGGAAGAAAGTGAAAAATCACTAGAAAATATTGTACAGAATGTCTCGACAAAAAAACTACAACACAGTCCTCAGGCCAAAACAATTCGATTAAAGCAAATTTACCTCAATGCAAAGTTGTTTAGTTTGGGCGGTAAAGGCGGCTCTGAAGGTACATATTTTTGATCATTCTTGCTTCATAACTCTGGTGATAAGTTATTTTGAAGACCGTTGAGAGACCACCCTGAATAGTTGAATGAAATAAGATTGTTCCACCGACTTATGTCTCTATCTAGATTGCTAAAGAAGATAGAAGTTATATCGCAACAACCCGAAAATGTAGGGTCAGTTGCTCGCCTGAAAACGGTTCTGCTCAACACGCAAGAACCCCCCAAGCTGTCGTTCATGACTTAGACGTGGTATCAAAATAAACCTAGTATCTATTTTGTTCATAGGCAGCGGCAAGGTGGATGGCATCGTCTTGAGTGTTAAGTGTTTTATTTATGTCAGCGGTCGGCTTAATAAAAAATGATATCAGAATTAACTGGTGATATACAATTTTTCGTTTCAGTTTTGCCAATCCTGATGGATATGGAGTCGTTTGACCTAATAATACCGGTATTTCTCTTCATCGGTGAGTTTGTGGGTGATTGATAGTTTATTATTTTGATTTGCTTTCATCAGTTGAGCAAGTATTCAGATCGAATGGGAACATAAATGTTCTGAATATTTCTTCAACTGTGAAGAATTCGAGTTCAAGTGTGAGGTGCCATCATGTATGCTAATCTATTTCGGATTAAAAGTTTACTCATTCAATAATGACTCTAGACTTCCTGAGGATGAGATAAATAAATGGTTTGAGGCTATTTGGAGACCATTGGATCTTAGTCACCCAGGAATAATCCAGACTGAGGTGTTTATAATTCTTCTGGTGTGCCCACTCTTCAATTGTTTCGTCAGACTAACTCTCGATATAAACAATTGAATGCTATTTCGGAACAAGGGGCTCTCATATTCGATGATAGATTACGTGAACGATGGACAATTTCTTGGAAAATTTTAAAATGCCTCTCGAATCTTA